CCCCTGGGGAGGGGGTAAACTTTACTATAGTTTATATAGGGAAATCACATTTTGGACCAACATTTGTTTAATTTCCATTGGAAGTAATTCAATTTGGGTTAGCATTATCAGTATTAGGTAGCAGTTTGATAATAAGCACCAATCAGCACTGACTGACCCCCAGGGGTCTTAACTCTGTATGCTAGATATTCAATAATTATAAGGTGGTTTTATTGTTTTGGGTCACTTTGAATAATATTTCTGTTAATGTTATAAACAAAAATCAATTCTCTGTATAACTATATCAGGTGACCATTAAGGACCATGGGCCTCTTGTTTTAATTTTCTGATTTTCATCAGACAGTACATGCATATTATCAGAAACCAGTTAAGATTTACAACCAAGATTTGTGTTTGCTGTCACCACTTGATTGGTCCCTGATTACTCTGAACAATAAAATGAGACAAATACATGAACTGTTTCCAATTGGAAAATAATACTGTGTAAAGGTCTTCGTTGCATTTTCATTAATTTATCTCTGTAGCTGTCTACAACTATAGATGATATAAGACAGACTTTTCATATGATATGTTTTCCAAAATTAATATGAAAATCAAGTGTTCTAATAATAAAAAAGAAGTTGTTATCGCTTATATTCAACTAAGAATTTTTTTTTCCTTACAGGAAATGAAGATGTTAGACTTGTGGGCAATAAAAGGCGTTCTCAGTTGGAAGGTAGTGTTGAAGTCAACAAGAATGGGTTGTGGGGCACAGTGTGTGACGACTATTGGGGAAACACTGATGCCATGGTTGTTTGTAGGATGCTGGGTTACAGGTACGGAAACCTTAATATAAAACAAGTATTGCTAATTAACAATAAATATTGGCCATGATCTTCTCAGAAGTGTTCAGTGCGATCTACTTATGATAGTACATGTGAAGTACCAGAAATAGAGGCATCCAGGTTACACACTGGGTCAATTTTATTGAAAAAATACCTTAATAGGCCCCAAAAAAGCATTCAATTTCATAGTACATTGTACAAACCTGTCTTTACTCTTCCATCCTGATCTTTTCCCCCTCCTCCCAGTTCTCCATTAACTCCCTTTCTGTAAACCACCCTTTCCCCTCTCTTCCACATCAACTCCCAGTTCTCCATTAGCTCCCTTTCTGTAAACCACCCTATCCTCTCTCTTCCACTTCAACTCCCAGTTCTCCATTAACTCCCTTTCTGTAACCCACCCTATCCCCTCTCTTCCACATCAACTCCCCGTTCTCCATTAACTCCCTTTCTGTAAACCACCCTATCCTCTCTCTTCCCCATCAACTCCCAGTTCTCCATTAACTCCCTTTCTCTAAACCACCCTATCCCCTCTCTTCCACTTCAACTCCCAGTTCTCCATTAACTCCCTTTCTGTAACCCACCCTATCCCCTCTCTTCCACATCAACTCCCAGTTCTCCATTAGCTCCCTTTCTGTAAACCACCCTATCCTCTCTCTTCCCCATCAACTCCCAGTTCTCCATTAACTCCCTTTCTGTAAACCACCTATCCCCTCTCTTCCACATCCACTCCCAGTTCTCCATTAGCTCCCTTTCTGTAAACCACCCTATCCTCTCTCTTCCCCATCAACTCCCAGTTCTCCATTAACTCCCTTTCTGTAACCCACCCTATCCCCTCTCTTCCACATCAACTCCCAGTTCTGATCTTTTCCCCCTCCTCCCAGTTCTCCATTAACTCCCTTTCTGTAAACCACACTATCCCCTCTCTTCCACCTCAACTCCCAGTTCTCCATTAACTCCCTTTCTGTAACCCACCCTATCCCCTCTCTTCCACATCAACTCCCCGTTCTCCATTAACTCCCTTTCTGTAAACCACCCTTTCCCCTCTCTTCCACATAAACTCCCAGTTCTCCATTAACTCCCTTTCTGTAAACCACCCTATCCCCTCTCTTACACATCAACTCCCAGTTCTCCATTAACTCCCTTCCTGTAAACCACCCTATCCCCTCTCTTCCACATCAACTCCCCGTTCTCCATTAACTCCCTTTCTGTAAACCACCCTATCCCCCCTCTTCCACATCAACTCCCAGTTCTCCATTAACTCCCTTTTTGTAAACCACCCTATCCTCTCTCTTCCACATCAACTCCCAGTTCTCCATTAACTCCATTTCTGTAAACCACCCTATCCCCTCTCTTCCACATCAACTCCCAGTTTATCCACTTCTCCATCCAACCATTTTCCCTTCCCCATAAACTCCCCTCTTCCCTTCTCTATCAATACCCCTTTCACCTTCTCCAAGATAGTACATGTGAAGTACCAGAAATAGAGGCATCCAGGTTACACACTGGGTCAATTTTATTGAAAAAATACCTTAATAGGCCCCAAAAAAGCATTCAATTTCATAGTACATTGTACAAACCTGTCTTTACTCTTCCATCCTGATCTTTTCCCCCTCCTCCCAGTTCTCCATTAACTCCCTTTCTGTAAACCAACCTATCCTCTCTCTTCCACATCAACTCCCAGTTCTCCATTAACTCCATTTCTGTAAACCACCCTATCCCCTCTCTTCCACATCAACTCCCAGTTTATCCACTTCTCCATCCAACCATTTTCCCTTCCCCATAAACTCCCCTCTTCCCTTCTCTATCAATACCCCTTTCACCTTCTCCAATTAATTTGCCTCAAATGTCCATTCTGCATTAATTTACCTCTTCTTTATTCCCTCGGCTTAAATTATTTGGTTGAGTACATTATGTTTAAATTTTCTCCTCTTACTACATCACTGGACTAGTTCTCAACTTTCCTGACTTTTAAATATGGTGCAAATGTTGTTTCTTCAATTTTCCTTACATTTCCATATGTTCATACATTTGGACACAATAATGCATCATAGTTAGGATTTTTAGTATGTCTGATTGATATGGGACAGGCATATATTCTCTTCCGCCCTGCGGTACTCTTGATTGTTTCAGTATGTGGTACTCAACGTTTCCCTATCATAATTATTGCTAAATTTGGCTAAAATGGTTGTCAAATGTATCGTGATGCCGTTTCAAATCCACATACATTGTATCGTACTGTTATTAATATGAGACATTTAAAAAGGATATTTGTAGAGATGTTTGACACAGCTTTCGTTTTGTTACAGCGGAGGAGAAGCCAAATACAAGGCCGAGTTTGGGCCAGGAAGTGGCAAAGCAAGCTTGATGGAGGAGGTGGATTGTAAAGGAACAGAATCTGACATCCGTGACTGTAAAGACCGAACATCTGTCAGTGGATGTGGCCATAATGAGGATGCTGGTGTTGTCTGTGATGGCGGTATGTTATATCTACCTCAAACCTCTTATTACCGCAGGTACCTCTAGTTGGTTCTAAAAATCATATCAGTTCCCTTGTTAACAGATACATATTAATTAAGTCAGTGTCCTTGTTAACAGATACATATTAAATAAGTCAGTATCCTTGTTAACAGGTATATATAAAGTCACCATCCTTGTTAACAGGTATATATAAAGTCCCCATCCTTGTTAACAGGTATATATAAAGTCAGTACATATTACCGTTATATATATAAAGTCAGCATCCTTGTTAACAGCTATATATAAAGTCAGCATCCTTGTTAACAGCTATATATAAAGTCAGCATCCTTGTTAACAAGTGTATAAAGTCAGCATCCTTGTTAACAGGTGTATTAAGTCAGTATCCTTGTTAACAGGTATATATATAAAGTCAGCATCCTTGTTAACAAGTGTATAAAGTCAGCATCCTTGTTAACAGGTGTATAAAGTCAGTATCCTTGTTAACAGGTATATATATAAAGTCAGCATCCTTGTTAACAAGTGTATAAAGTCAGCATCCTTGTTAACAGGTGTATAAAGTCAGTATCCTTGTTAACAGGTATATATAAAGTCAGTACATATTAACGTTATATATATAAAGTCAGCATCCTTGTTAACAAGTGTATAAAGTCAGCATCCTTGTTAACAGGTGTATAAAGTCAGTATCCTTGTTAACAGGTATATATAAAGTCACCATCCTTGTTAACAGGTATATATAAAGTCAGTACATATTAACGTTATATATATAAAGTCAGCATCCTTGTTAACAGGTATATATAAAGTCAGCATCCTTGTTAACAGGTATATATAAAGTCAGCATCCTTGTTAACAAGTGTATAAAGTCAGCATCCTTGTTAACAGGTGTATTAAGTCAGTATCCTTGTTAACAGGTGTATTAAGTCAGTATCCTTGTTAACAGATACATATTAAATAAGTCAGTATCCTTGTTAACAGGTATATATAAAGTCAGCATCCTTGTTAACAGGTATATATAAAGTCAGTACATATTAACGTTATATATATAAAGTCAGCATCCTTGTTAACAGGTATATATCAAGTTAGTATCCCTGTTAACAGGTGCATTTAGTCAGTATCCTTCTTAACAGGTGTATAAAGTCAGTACTCTTGTAAACAGGTATATATACAGACAGTATCCTTGTTAAAAAGATACATATCAAGTCAGTAACCTTGTTAACAGGTGTATATATAAAGTCAGTATCCTTGTCAACAGGTATATATCAAGTCAGCATCCTTGTTAACAGGTATATATCACGTCAGCATCCTTGTTAACAAGTATATATAAAGTCAGCATCCTTGTTAACAGGTATATATCAAGTCAATATCCTTGTTAACAGATAAATATTAAGTCAGTATCCTTGTTAACAGGTATATATTAAGTCAGTGTCATGTAGTGGTTGCTGTCAACTCTGACATTCCTTAGTGTTATGTTGTTGGTAAGCTGTCAACTCTGACATTCCTAAGTAAATGTTGTTGGTTAGCTGTCAACTCTGACATTCCTTAGTGTTATGTTGTTGGTTAGCTGTTAACTCTGACATTCCTTAGTGTTATATTGTTGGTTAGCTGTCAACTCTGACATTCCTAAGTGTTATGTTGTTGGTAAGCTGTCAACTCTGACATTCCTTAGTGTCATGGCTTTGGCTAGCAGTCAACTCTGACATTCCTTAGAGTCATGTTGTTATTTATGATTTGGCAAACTTCCACATACCTCGGCTTTATGTTTAAATTCTTCAAGGCATTGATACTAAGCCTGTATTTCTACAGTACATGAAATAGCAGAATTTTCACAATAATATCAGTTTGATTATATTTCATGTTTGTTTTTGCCATCTTGAATGTGGCTGGCCAGAGATAATGCATGATTGATTTAGATGAAACAGTGCCCTTTTATTTCATGCACTGTTACATTTGCCAACAGTTGAATTAAAATCAGCCATGAATCAATTTCAATTTTACGAGAGAATGTTTACAAACAAGACAGAATTTCACATTTCAGGATTGGTTATGGAGAAGAAACAAGACTTTGACAATTTGTCAAGTTTTTTTTTTATCATGAAATTGTATTTGTGTGGCAATTCAAATTGTAGTTAAGGATTATTGGTTTTGCTGAAGGCTTTATTTGTCAGAAATTCATGAGAAGTGTTAAAGACAGTATGTTATGGGTTTGGGATGCATCGTAACAATGTTTGTGAAAAAGTTGAAGAGTTTGTCAGCAAGCAGGCAATGTTGACTACTTTTCTTTATTTATTTGACCACCACAGTGGAGACTGTGATGCCTATCGACCAGGAATATATAAACACAAACATTGAGGTGAAGTTGATGTGACAGGAAAAGGAGCCTTGGGAACCAGTATTTTTGTGATATTAAAATGGTTGTTTGTTAAAATATCTAGAAATAAGTAAAGAGTATCTGTGTCATCGCTACAATGATAAATAAATAAACAAACCGTTTATGTCATTGGACCCCACATATTTATAATGTCAGAGTGAGGGAAAGTAAGCATAACCCCTGGGGTACCGAGGATGGATGACACCTACGGCAGGTTGTCGAAGAATTTAAGAAGCTTACAGAAATATCATTTATTCAGAATTACCAATAATTACTAAACTTTGAAATAAGTAACAACTTAAGAATACTAATTAAATTTATTTTGATAGAAAATAAATTTTAAAACTTTACTTTTTAGATAAAATAAATTAAAAAAAAATGCAAAAAGTTGGGGCATAAGATCTTTACTACTTGCCTTATAAATGGTGTTCTCAATATAGCACCATTCACAGTTTACATTATTGCCTTTGAGTGTATGGCAAAAATTCCATTTGAACTGTACAGAAGGATTTGCTAGAATTCAAATTATGTCACATGCTAACACTTTCAGTGTGATTGCATAATTTTGACGTTTCATCTG